TACAGAATTGTTATTCTTATTTGCTGTTGCTTGTTTATTTTATAGCCCGGCCAACAATTTTTAATCAGGAGAGTGTTAGACAAACAAGATTACTTTCACTTATACTTGTTGGATACGCTAAACAAACAAAAAACGCCACAGTCTTTTGTTCACTGAGATTTTAACTTTTTATTGTTTGTTAATGAAATCATGTTCATTATCTAATGCTATAACTAGCTATACAAAATATGCAATTAGTTAAATTGTTATCACATTTTCCCGGCGCATGTAGCTTTGCTTAATAATGAATACGAAAATGAACACAAGAATCTATAATGGCCTTAGAGCACATTTGCTTTATCCAAGACTTGCTTTGATAAATAATAGAGTAAGAGATAGATTCGAAAGCAGGTTTGACTAAGGAAACTTGTATCAATATAGTGAATAATGGAAATTTACGGTGGTAGAAGAAGCTGAAATATGAAAGTCGTTAATATGTATTTCAAGGTGCAGTTTGAAACTAGGGTAGGTATTGAAAGTATGAAGGCCAAGATGGTATGGCCTATTGTATGGCCGCAGTAGTCTCCTTTCGTTGTATAGAAGTTGTTCAACCTTATTTTCGCATTTTGGCCATATTTACAGGAAGATCAAGAGAAACGCACCTAGTCCTGAGTCAATAGTATCCATGATAATTTCCTGAGTCTGAACACTGACGTGGTACATTCCCAGACGTTTCGCCAGCATTGTAGTCGGCATCATCTGTGAGCTTTGCCATTCTTAGCACCACACTACAACTCGTCAAAGAGACAAGTGAAGCCGATCCTTTTACCAATTGTCTGCTAGACAATTATGGTATCTCTCCTGCCATGGGCTATTCACTGATCCTATATCCTTGTATCACCCTTTCACTATCACAATTTGTCTTTTAAATGTGGTATGGTGTGCCCTTTTTTAGCGGATTTTACGATAACTCTTTAAACCCCACTGGCTTTCTCACCTCGCAACCCCCTTCCCATAGGTCTTATCAGAGTCTCCTTGCCCCGTAGGACCTGCCTACCTTTCTGGTTCAGGTATTTCACTCGACCCCTCCTGCCACCCTATCTGTACTACTCGAAGCGTTATTTCCCACATCTGAGCCTTTGATGGCATGTCTAAATCTGGCTAGCTGAGTAGGCCCCTAAAAATAAGGATTCTTAAGCTGGATGGGACACTAACTTGGGGCTAAAGATCTCGAGTAATTCTCATGTTCAAGCCTTTCCTTCATGGACAACGTCTACTTTTAGCAAAATAGCTCTAGTCTACACCACATCTATCGTGCTTTTAGTACCAGGTCCAAGACTTTCTTTGCTCTAATCTCTTGCGTGCCAACCCACATGTTGTGGTTCTACATTGAACCTATGTGAAGAGGATTGTGGGGTAAGGGTGCGAGAAAGTGAGCCTTGAGCTTGGATAGTTCATATGAGATCCGCTGAAAAAGGCCACACAATGCCACATTTAAATAAGAAATTGGCATAATAAAGGAGTAATACGAGGATATAGGATTGATGAATAACCCAGGGCAGAAGCAGAGTTACCATAATTGTTTAGCAGAAAATAGGTCAAAGGATCGGCTTCACCGGCGATACCGACCACAATGCTGGTGATACGTCTAGGGATGTATCACGTCCGCGATCTGACTCTTCAATTATCATGCATATTATTGACTCCGGACTAGGTGCCTTTCTCTCTGTCTTCCTACCAATATGACCAAGTTGCCAAAACAAGTTCAAACATCTTCTTTGTGGGTATATAAGTACAGGTGGAAAATATGATTGATTGTAGCAGACTAAAAAGCAGATAGCTAAAACTGATTTTTTTGAATATTTATCTCGGTGATTCTCTTGTTTGAATATCAATATCCTAACTTCTTGCGATCCATTTGATTCACGTTATAGTGATCTAGTCTTAATTATTTCTGATGCTTATGCCCCTTTATATCGTCATTGAATCTGATAGCATGATTTTAAAGTTTCCGCTTAGTCAGAAATAGCTTTGGAATTTTCACAGTTATTTATATATAAAGTTATTTGTTTTTAAATACGGATGGCTCGATTCTGACATGTTTTTTCATTTGTAATTCTATTTTATATTCCCGCATTCTACTTATCTTAATTGGATTATTATGCATATTTGTAGTGACCAGTAGGAAACTTCAATTACAGAGGCTTATATTTTGTTTTATCTTAATGCTTTTCCATTATAATTTGCCATCCCATATTTTATCTTTTAACAAGCATTAAGAATATTTTTTGATTTTTATTCAAATCCAATTGCTCTTTCTTAAGGCTGATTAATCTATAAAAATCTTCATTGAGACCTTAAGTTGAAATATTTTATTAATAAATAAAAGTCATATAGATGCGATTCAGCGGATAGAATTTGAGGTTATATTGACTTAAAGATATATTTTATCGATACATACATAAGTACATGTGGGTTTCAATGATTTGAAATTTAGTTGCGAAGAAGCAGTTAAATATTGGTGTATACATTCTCATTTCTCATTTAACCTGAATGCTAAAAATAGATCGTCTTAAACTAACAAATAAAATAGAATTTTTTTTGGGCCAAATATCTAATCATCATTTTTCTCTTCATCCCTATATTAACAGAACAAATGTGTACGCTATTGGCCGACAGCTGAGGAGAAGGAACGGGAATACTTTAATCATGGAGGTTCTCTACGTGTGCAGCATCTTGCTGAGCGACACTCAGATAATTATACACTCCGTGAGTTGCGCCTATCGCGCAACTTAGCTAATGAGGTTTCGAATTCATTGTACTGTGCTGGGCCGCTTAGTAATGGTGATCAGTATCAGCATCATCATCATCATCATCATCATCATAATCATTTATGTCACCCGCAAACGTCTGGCCTGTCTGAGCAACCCGTGACGCCTATGTCGTCCATTATAACAAAGTCGCAGGCTAGATCTACATCTCCGGCTACTGTTTTGGGCAAGGATGGAGCCTATACAGTATATCATTACCACTTTACTGTTTGGCCCGACCACGGCACGCCTGCTGATCCTTCCTGTGTACTCGACTTTATGCACGACATTTCTGCGAGACAAGTTGGTGACTATTGTTTAAAATCCTCACTTTTATGTCACCCCATAGTTGCCTAAGGTGATTTAATTAATAGTAGTTGTACTCTTCCCTCGGCGAAACCGGTAGGCTCACAATTCCATGGCTTTGGCTCCAAAACGTTTTCATATTCGGACTTGACTGCAATTTAAACCTCGCCTAAGTCTCATACTCACTCCCAGCCGGATTCGAAACCCTTCGTACATGCAATGGGACAACATGTTGCCGCCTCACCATATCTAAGACTCCAGTTGGTCACAAGCAGGATGCAATTCAAGACGAACTAGGCTTCTACTAAACCAGTTTTTTTGTGCGATTGTCTCTGTCACTACAATCAATGACTACTTTTATTCGACACTTATATGTTTTGAGACCATCATCAAATCTTGAATAAGAACTTGAGCCATTGAGTAGAGCTCAGAAGTTAATTACTTAGCCTTGCCTTCCATAAGGTATCATCATCCAGGATAGACAGCACTTTTTACTCGCCTGTGTCTCTTCATCACCTTTAAGGGAAATCGAACACGTCTGATTCAGACTCCCTTTTTGACATGCTACTTCTAATTTTCATTTTAAGGTTTCGAGACCTTGTAATGCTATTCCCTGTGGCCCAAAGGCACCTGTGGCAGTGTGGCCTAGTTAATAACGCTGTCATATCCATTGTATGCTGATGAGACAAACCTATACGAGGTTAAACCGCAGTCCACCTCGAATGATAATACATTTTTGCAAGCAAGGCCTTATGAAATTTAAGAGAAACCTAAAGCCTACTCATATAATTGAGGAAATATCCAACTATCAGTTCGTCATCAACTTAAGCATAATTGGGTTACTAGTGCTTTTATGAAAGTTACCACTAAGCTACAGTGCCACGACCAAACAAAGACCACACCATCTTGGTCTTCATATCTACGATCTATATACCACTCTTGTGATTGGTTCGCAGGGCAGACGTGACTCAAGACAAATTAGTCATATCTTATATCGCATTTATTGTGGGATTATCGATGAAGAAAACTTGTATTTAATATTATAACCTATAAGGTTAACATTAACTTGAGACATTTACGAGAATGAGTCCAAGCTCTGGTGATGTCCATTATATGATGGGCGAAAGCTCAGCCAGTTTTCACCCGAAAAGGGGTAGGAGGTCTCATGGATTGCGTCTATTTCAACGTCGTATAAAAGCCAAACGGCTACAGTACAACGGGATTCAACCTCTCTTCGACCTTCGAATCTCTTCTTCATACGCTTTCATAGGAAATGAAAGTCCAAGCAATAAAGCT